GTTCTTAGTTACTTGTGAAATTACAGCAGTCCTTTAGATTTCCCTATGGATCTTTAGCTTTCCATAAGATCTTCTCCGCAGCGCTGTGCAAGGTCAGCTCCTACCCAAAGTCCTGATTTCTGTTCTGTAAGGCCTGCCTTTCTCTATGGCATAGTTTTGCTTTGTGATCTGGTAAGTTGCCATGTTCACCAATTTCATTATTTACTAGACAACATGCAGATGAGTCTGTGTATGTTTAAATAAATCCCTTCTGTATTTAAACTGACTTCCATAATCATTCCTAGGCTTCCTGTGTATCTAATATAGTCTGTGAACGTATCTTATTGGACCTTTTGTACTGAGGATCCTGAACTATACTCTGAAGCCTGATCATTTGGATTTAATTCCAACAGGACTGCAAAGTTTCATATTTAAATAATGTGGCCTCTTGTCTTTGCTAGTTTTAAGTATACAAAGTCTTTTCAGGGGAGATGAGAGGCCATTTAGTTGTCCCAGTGTTATCTTTGTAGTAAACTTGGTGTCCTGTGGAGAACATCTTATCTCCCACTACTACCTGTTGGGGCTCTCAAGAGGAAGGCTGTTAAAACAGCTGTCCTAGTTGCTTAGGCATGGTAGCAGCTCCTCTCAGTTTGCTTGTCCTCATCATCACTAGTTCTCATGGTTCCTCCTTTTAAGCTGTGAGTAGTGGAGACCGTAAATCCTGAAGGTAAAAAAAGATGCTGTAGAGATGAAGAGATTGCTTTGCCAGTTTTAATTGGACTGCATTTTGGTTTATTTCAGAGGTAACCTGGATAAAGCCATTGAAATGTTCAACAAAGCTATCAACCTGGCCAAATCTGAAATGGAGATGGCCCACCTCTACTCGCTCTGTGATGCTGCCTATGCCCAGACAGAAGTTGCAAAGAAGTATGGATTGAAACCACCAACACTGTAAAGAAATGAGGAGGAAACGACCATCTAAAGTGAAGTTGCCCACTTCAGCCAGCCCTAAAGACGCTGTTGCAGACCATATTGAATGGTGGAACTTAGTTTTTTCCCGTTCGTGGTGTTGTCATTTGCTACATCTGTTCAATGTTTAGGTGTTGTGGGAGTGGTTGTTCAAGGAAGTACGCAGCGGTGCATCTTGTTCCTTCTGCAGCAAAAACCTTGGAGCGTGTTCGAGGGAAATAAAGCTGCAGGGGAACAACAGGAAGGTATTTTGGCCATGCAAATAAAAACTTCACATTGGTTCATTTGGGGTGATTATGTTGTGGGCGATTTTTGCTTTATCAAAGAATATTACAGCATGTGGGTTTTTTTCCTGTTGATTTTAAAGGTAATACTAGTCAGTGCTGTAAAATAGGTTTCTTTTTTTATATGCAATTAATCCTTGAGGGTTGATTTTAATTTTGCAAAAAAGGAAAAAATTAATTTTCAAACTGTTTAATAATAGAGGGGTTTTTTAAGTCAGTAGATGTGGAGAGAATCCCTGTAAATATATGCAAGCATGCACAATCTTCCCTTAAAGCCCCTCCCACCCTCTGCGTAACGTACTTAGAAATAGTCCTGTGGCAGCTATTAGGGAATTAATTTGGTAGTCCTTGTCCTCCCCCCGGAAAGCCCCAGCGTACTGTACAGGAGAGCTAGTACACAGCTGGTTGGTTGGGGAAAGAGGTCGGGCAACACTGCTTGAGCTTTACTGGAAGCAAGGCTGTGTTCCTGTGCAGCACTCCCTACTTGAATGTCACAGGAAACTCTTCTGAAGGCTTCAGAGGGACTTTCAAGAACAAAGCGCTGCTGGGAGTAGAGCTGCCAAGGTAAGGTCATGCTTGCATATAATCTTTGTCATCTCTGACACTCTCGCTTAATTGTCACAGCTAATAGACCATTGAGAGTCTCCTCAGTCTCTAGAGGCTGCTGTGGTCTGATCTGCTCCTTCTAATAGCCCTTTGCAGGATCAAGAGTGCTAAGGAACAAAGCATAGGCTAAAACTTCAAATAATGGACTTAGAATCTGTACTGGTTTCTTTGTTCTTTAGCCCCTGTCTTGTCCAATATTACAAATACTGTAGGGAGGAAGCAGCTGTTCTGCAAACAGCGGATCAGCAAGTTACGAAATCCTAATCCAAACCGTCTTCCTCTAGCTAGAACTTCACACAGGGCTCTCTTGCTTTAGTCAGTCCATCTTGCCTCTCCCTGGATTGATGTGGCTGGATAAATACTTAAATGATGTAGCTTGATTTACCATACATTAATTTGGGCTTCTTCCCATCCTGAAATCATAGATTTGCTTGTGCTGAATTGTCTAATGTATTTCATCTCTTAAAGAAATTAACCGTGCTGTGGTCAAACCGTCTTGCTCTCTAGTCGTGCCACCATCTAGCAGCAGCTTGTCTTTTCAACTTGACCTTCCTTTCTCCCAGCAACTACAGTTGAGAGTTCAAATGGTGGAGAGTAGACTTAGAGACCTAATCATTCTATTTTAGCTAGCTCAGTAGGTGATCGGAAATCATAGCGTCGGTGTAGAGTCGAAGGCGTCGGAAGGTACTGGCAGCTTCTAAGGGCACTGCACATAACGAGTGTCAAATGTCTCCTGGAACCTCCAATCTCTGCATCAATTACCTGAGAACAAAAATATGCCAAAATGGCTGATGTGTCCTGTTCTCCTGAGGAGTTTTTATTCGCATGGCCTTATTTACATTGGCATTTTCTCCTCTACACCCTCCCTCTACCCCATTCCTTACCCGACCCGGTCAATTAAGGGAAAAAAAAGCATGTGCTGTCGAATACTAGCATTCCAAATCATCACAGACTTTTGCCTGTTCTTGAACTAGTTTGAAACTGCACTGAAAGGATGCATTGTCTGTAATTTTTTTTTTGTAAATGACGTATCACCTGTAAACTGAAAAAATAAATATTACCTTCAAGTATCTCTCTCTGACATGTATAACGACAGGTTTTGATGAAAGCGTTCTCTGTGGTGGCCCTCTCTGTGCTTATGAGGTTGCTCGGAACCTATGAAGAACTAATAATGGTGGACTCCCTGTCATCTTCTCTCACCTCAAGAAAAAATGAGGAGACATGGAATTAACAAGTCTTATCTCTGATGGCTTCCCTCACCCGCAGAGGTATGACAAGAGCTGAAGATTACAGGAGAAAGAAATCTAGCCAGAAAAGCAGGGAATCTGAGTAGCTGACACCCTGCTAATGTATATATGCAAGTGGATCCCTTTAGTGAAGGGGATTTTCTTTTTTTAAATGGCTTATATAGCGTGCATGTGACCTTTTGAGAAATGCTTTCTTTAGTAGGGATCAAGAGCTGAAGTGAAACCGGTATTACTGCTATTTAAAAACAACCAAACATTGTTGAAATAACGTAGGAAGCTAGTACTGAAGACTTGGATAAAACTGGTGTATCCTAGAGCCTCTGGGAAGTTGCTTCTAGACATAGTTGTCTTGCATCTTAATTCTGATCATGTAAAATCCCTGTTGTTCATGGTAGAGACACGTTTGCTGGAATGGTGATTAGAAGTTGTGACTTGAATTACTAGGATCTAATTGCAGATTGAAAGTGAAGAGGGAACTAACATATGCTAAGGAGCTGTACTCCAACTTATTCTGGAACTATTAAGAGCAGCTCAGATGCAGCTTTAACCAGGCTCCCCAGCTGCAGGGGTAATAACACTGCCCGATACCACAGGCTTTCCTGTGGTTTTTTTCTTTAAAAAGAATTTAAACTGTTGCAGCCTGAAATACTGGAGCTAGTTCAGGGCTGTTACTGCCTGGTTTTCTATACTTGCAGAATACTGGTGCATATGTATAATATGGATATTTAAAGTGCCTGTTTTCTACCACCACAGAGATTGAGTATTGACTGCTTGAAGTATTATCTGGTGAAGAACTGATTGTGTACTTTTTTCATTGAAAACCCCCAAAAAATTCACAGTCCCCTTTGCATCACTGAGCGGGTCACACTGGTGGCCCCTAAACCATCCTGTTAAAACAAGGTGCTTAGAGGTTGTCCTGACAGCCTGAGCTGATGGCACCTCTTCAGCTGAGCTCACCAAAGCAGCTCGCTCCAGATTTTCATCCCTTCTCTCCCTTTGGGACTCCATGGGCAGAGGGCCCAGGCCACAGATTTCGTTGGCTGTTGCACTTTGCATTTGTAAAATGAAGTGGTCAGCCCGTGAGAATCCTGCACTACTTTAATCCTCCAAAGGTAGTATTTAGTTCCTGCTCCTCTGCATGTTAAATTAGTAGAGAGAGGGGAGGGAAAGACAGGTAGAGTAGTTAAAAAAAAAAAAAAAAGAAGAATGTATTATAGTTTCTATGATTTAGAAGTTGGAGCTCAGTGATGGCCATCATGGATGCCAATTGTTGAGTGTGTGGGAGGCATTAATCTAATGCAGGAGACTTGACTCAAATGGTAAATTGTTAATTTTTTTATATTTATTTTTCAACAAATAAATCTTCATTTCACCTTATGCTCTGTGGCTTTGTTTCTTAAGAGTTCCAGTACAGTATGTGCACCAAAATGCAGGGAAGAGTACAGAGTAAAAAATACCTGCTGGAATAGCTAGTGCCACGGAGTGGAATAGTGTGACCTGTCTTTTGAGGGGAAAGATGCATCGGGTTTGGCTTGATGTAACCGTTAATTTTCCTCTATAAAACACACACCTAGCTCATGCCGGAGAAGCCAAAAAAAATTAAAAAATAGTAGTCAAGAGAGCAGCTAAGGGAAGAGTAGGAGGGCTGAACGTGAATAAAATGGTAAGGTGGTTAACTGGAGCAAGACAAAAACCACCTCTCCCTCCTCCCATTTTTGTATATTGAAATCTCTCTTAGTAGTTTATCATTTACCTGCTGGAAAACTAAAAGCCCCGTGAGAAAAGGTGGGTAGTTATAATTGCTTCTCTTTCATCCCAAGGACCAAAAAAAAAAAGCCATTTGCAAATTCTTATCTTTTAACATTCAAAGAAGCACCAAGGTGTCTTTCTTCTAAGAAAACAAAAACATCAAAACAGTATTTTAAAGGCATCTTTAATCGTCAGTTTGTTAGTGCCTTCAGCGTGAGCAATGAGGAAAGGAGTGTTCTGTGCAGCTGATGGAAGCTGGCCTTTGGTAGCAATAGTTCTAGCCCCCGTCCTGCAGAAGGCTGTGGGCAGAAAGACATAGTGTAACAAGTTTTCTAACTCTTGAGTGACCCCCTCCTCAGCCTTTTCAGGCAAAGATGGGCTGGCAGCAGAATTAAGGCCCGTTCAGACATTATATTAAGGAAGCAGCACATACAGCAAAGGTGTGCTGATGGGAATTCCTTTAACAAAACAGTAACCTGCGTCACCTCAGCAATAAACGGGAATTGCAATAAGGAGAATTTAATATACATATATTCCACACGGGACACATGAACCAAAACTTGTTACAGATTCTTCTATAGTAGTAGCTCCATCTGGCAGCTTCTTGCATTGTCCCCAAGCAGCACAGAGCAGAATTTGGCCTGTTTTGATTAGTGTGTTAAATTTTAAGATTGCCAAGTTAGAAGTTGGGTATTCGACGACCTTTGTTAAGGCACATACAACTAAGAAGGACGGAGATGGCAGCATCATCCTTCTAGAGCACCTGATGATTCACTGAAAAATTCTCAATATCAAAGCTGACTTCAGAGGATTCCCAGTGAGAACAAGGTTCCCCTTTCTATGTTCTACAAAAAAGCCCCAAAAAGGTAACTATAACATTGTGATGCATAAAAAGCAATGATGTTAATTACTACTGTGTTGAACTGATTTCACCTCCATCTTTATCCCAGCTGTAAATTATAAAATACTGAAGTATGAGAGGAGATAGAAAAGTTGTAGTTGAATCAATTTTAGAATTACACCACCAAGTTGGATTCTTTTGGTTGGTGGTTTTATGTTTGTTTTTTTTTTAAATTAACTGTCACATTTTAGCAGTAGATTGTGGAGCAACTAGTAAGGGAACCCTTCCGAAGATGAAAGGAGCAGCCATTGTGTCAATTCAACCTTCTTTAGTCACCCAGCTTCACTTTTTCATCTCTATGCCATAGAGATCACAACGCTTCTGGCTTAAAATAGGAATTTGTTGACGTATTTCTGCAAGTTTCTTCAGATCTGCAGAGGGAGGAGAAAGAGCTTTTAGAACAGCAGGCAAAAAGGAAAGCTCCTGACTTGCTCTGAAGTACGGCAGGGAAAAGAGCAGCTTTCACAGAGAATGGGCCTGTAGAGCACTGTGACTGGGCAGCCAGGGCTGAAGGAAGCCTCATCTTTGCTCTTCCCTAAGGTGGCAGCTTTTTCATAAGTAAGGAAACTGGAAGAGAATAGTCAGGTGCTGCTTGTTCTTGCTTTAATCTAGCCAAGGTGGAGAAGGGATAGGAACACTGCATCCCCACAGACTTTAACTGCCTCTTAGTCTCATGACCCGTACTCAAGAAAGCAAGCAGGGGAGAAATCCCAAACTTGACTCTTACCGATATCTGTGTATACAACTGTTTCCTCAGCCCCAGCTTTGGCTATGACTTCACCCCTGCGAAATTAAGCACATTTGTTCACAGCATTAACACAGAGCTCTCGAGGCATCAGTCCAGTTGCTGCTGTTTGTACAAGTGGGGGTTCCTACCCTCGATGTCTACAGCTGTAAAGACAGGGCAGTCCTAAAATAGCATCCTAATTCATAACTCTGGCATGACAGCAATGGCTTCCAGGCTTTATATGTGGCACATTTTATATATGACATATACATATTTAACACAAGGAAGATCAAGAATCACCATAAGAGCAACTCTGAGAACTAGTGCATGAGCATACAGTATAGCTCAGGGGGGAATACCAGCATCACCAGGGACAGCCATATATGGCAAAGACTAACACTTTCTCCTTCCAGATTCTACTGGCTTTTAATAGGAGTACACTTTTACTCTGTATGAGCTACTGAACATTATCATGTCTCCCACTAGGTCACTGCTTTCATCTTACAAAGTTAAAAGCTCAAGACATGGATAAAGCTTTTCTTACTTTGCAATCATCTAGAAGAGAATAGATTTATTTGAAAGAAAAATAACTGAAGCTTTGGTCACCTTTACCTCCTGTGCACCTGTGTGACTTCTGTTTAAGCCAGAATATGTCTCTTATTTACCTGAAGACATTCTTGTTCCTTTTTATGTCAAAGCAGTGTTGTTCTTTAAGCAAATGAAATAGTTTTGTGTAAACTGTTTAAGATGGTTCAGTTCAGCACAGAGAATTAGTACAATACATAGTATATAATGGACTGAACTCAAGGGACATGTTGAAAGGATCAGCAGCTTAACTAATGCTGAATATTAGGACTAAGTAGCTTCTTCACTACCAAAAAGAATACATACTGTTAAACTAGTTGTAGTTTCTTTCTTGTTTTTCAGTCAGGCAGTTTTAAAGGATGAGTTTGAGAATGTAGGCTTAAGTCTCAGATGCTTTTTACTAAGAACTTGTGATATTTCTAAGACAAATGCGGGACTGAAGTGTGACTGTCAAGTAAAACACATTTTTAACCAAGAAAAGGTGGGGTTGCTTGGGTTTTTTATGAACTCACCATGGGTTTACTACAGTGCTGTGTCCCCAGGCAACATAGGATGCTTTCTCATCTCTAGCAGGAGATACAGCAGCTACGTAGACTTGATTATCGACAGCTCTGTGTTCAAAGAAAGATGAGAGAAGGGAGGGGGAGGAGGGAAGTGAATAGAATATTTTTTTTTATACCATCAATTAACTGAACAGAAGAAAAAGAATTCACTCTGAAGGGCAAGCTGTATGTCCCCCCAAGGACTAGCTGCAACTGTAAATGATATGTAGGTCAGCGAGAGCAGAGCCTGGAAAGAGAAGCCTCCAGCACCTGCTCCAGAGTTAGCGGGTAGAATGAATTACATGTTCATTCAGTACGGATCAAAGTTGATTGAAGCTGACCAAATGAATAAATAAGACTGCATTCCAGAGCCTCAGGGACTATTTCTATCTGTAATTAGAGCAGTTCTCAAATGGTTATGGGCTCTTCTGTCCAGAAGTTTGTGTGAAGGGTTTCAGGGAAAAGCCTCCTTGAAAGGGTGCAGCTGCTGAGGGGCTGCCAGGGGTGAAGGATAAGCTCTTCCTGCTTTTCTTCTTGACAACAAAATCAGTTTGGTGTCCCATGCAAGGCTTGAGGAATGGTACAACTCCAACAGCAGAGTGGCCCTGCAGCATCACTTCTGATGCACAGTGTCATTTGGAACTCAGTTCCACATGTTAAAACCTCCTCTGGAACAGGAAGATAAGCTGTCACTTTGTTCTTACCGTCCCCTTTGTAGCAGTTCCCAATGAGCTGGTCCCGTTGTCATGTTAAAAGCCCCTGGATATATCAGCAGCTGGCAACCTTTGTTAAAAGAAAATTAAAACCCAACCATCACTAAGGAGAAGGTTGTTTACCTTAGAGTGACCCTTCACATTGAGACACAAGGTGAGGTTTTTTTCAGTGCTTCCCAACCTCTGCCCAAAACGGAACCAAACAGAGCCTGTCCGTGCATGACACGGGTGACAACTTGTCAGCAAAGCCCTGTGACACATCACCAGGTGTGGGGATATACCCACCTCCATCACTCCATCAGCAAAGGTGTTATCAGGAAATGATTGTTACTTTACTCAAGGAGAACAGACACTCGTTTGAATAACAAAGTCTTGGCCACAAGATGCATTTTGTGTTACTGGGCAAGGATAAGAGTGCCCGATCACACAGGTTGCCCAGTAGGTACCACCCTGAAAGGGCCCCACATAATCCAGGCCTTAGTGCTAACCAGGCTCCATCAGGTGACCCAGCCTCACCTTTCTGTCCGTAGACTTGAGCCATCTCAGCAAATCTCATATCGTAGCAGATGCCCAGGCCCACTTTACAGTATGCTGCTCTCAAAACACAAGAGACAACGGTCACATTGCTACCACAAGTACACAAAAGAAATCACAAGCCTCCAGCCAGCCAGCTGTTATTTTATGTGTCTCCCAGTAACAAGAGGAGCTATATTTAAATGTGAATCCTTATCTGTAACAAGCATTGGCTATTTGTGGGGGAGAATTCATGCTCCACAATGAGAGGAAGAGTGTGAGCAGCAGCCTTATCCACCCTTTAAGAGCAGCCATTTCCACAAAATCCTGTTACATCAGGTCTTTGCATAATGTATTCATCTGATCTAGCTGCAGGTTTTTGAGTTATTTTATTTTCAAGAAAAGAAAGCACTTGCTGCTCTTCACAGACTAAAGAAACTAAAGTCACATACTTTCTTACAGCATGCACATCGCAAGGAGAAAAAAGTGACTACGGGAGACAAGACTCTTTGGAGAGCTCATTAAACAGGATGTGTTACTTTTTGAAAATGGGGGGTGGGGGTGAGGGGAGGAGATGTCTTGCTTTTTCACCTGATGTGATTGGTCCATGAATGCTGGAATGGGATTTACAGTTATTTGCTTCCATTATTATATTATCCTTACATGAAACAATGTTCCAGTGTAGCTGCTTGCTACATATATTTTTCCAAGCCATTCCTTTAAGAACCATTTAAAGATGTAACTGCTATAAAAAAAAAATACAGTAACTTCTCTTTAACAAATCAGTAAGATTTATTAAGGCAAGTGCCACAATGTATGCTTCAACCCTTCCTACTCCTCTGTCCTTTTGCAGTCACACTGCATTTTTAAAAGTTTCAGAAGTGACTTGGAACAAATTTAAAACTATATTTGCTGTGCTTGTCAAATGCCTAATATAAATCTGATATTATAAAAATCCATTGCTGGGGAGGAAAAGGGGAAAGAGAATTCCAGAATGAGCGTAGTGTTATTGTGGTAGAGCTCCTTCAAGAGACGGGTTGGCTTATACTCACGAGTGTCAAACACGGAGAAACTATTCCCTGGACTCAGTGTTTCAGACTCTTTGAACTGTATCTTCCCAGGAATATTAATGTCAAACAAATGAACCTGTAATTATAGTATGAATAATAATTAATAATGATTTATCTGCTAGGTATTTGAGCCTCTTTCTATTAGACAGGTATTTCTTAGTTACTGTTATCTAGACCACTCTTCTGTCAGGATCCCAACCAAACACTGCTTAAGATTGTGAGATCTCCTTTATAATTTAAAGCAGTTTTCTTCTTTACAGAAATATACACATCTGAAAAGCAAAAAAAAGACTGGCCACTTTAAACAACACATGTAATTCCTATGACCCAAGTGATGCACATATCAAACTTTTATATTGCTTACCAAATACAATGCCCTGTCCTTCTCCCATGCAGTAGTTGAGCCTAGTTAAAAATAGCTAAAAATATAATGATTAATTTGTAGTATGGCTCTATATGTTCCTCATGGAAAAATCCCTGCAAAATAGCTAGATATCTTGATCTAACTAGTTAATTAGCAAAAGAAATTATATTTAATAGCAGCATTCTGCCATCTTACCTTTCTATGCTTTGCCACCATTGCACCATCAGGCCCAAAGACAGTACATGTATTATACAGCTTTCCACCATCCTCTTCTGGAATGGATCCTTTGTAAAGGTGAGAACAAAGATTTCCCCCACTGTGTTATACAGATTTTTGATCCAATGGCACTAATAGACATTGCCCATTTTCCCCTCAATGAGATGGCCACTAAAAGTAAACTACCTCCAATGAGATATATGCTGCACTCCTTTGCAACTTCTGAGAGCTTCTGTGTTGACTCCCCAGGGATCTTCTCTGCGTACTCCTTAAAGTATTGGGTTCCATACGGAGAATTAAAGCATTCCTAGAATTCAGGAAAAAAAAAAAAAAGTTAAAATCCAGTAACACCACTGCAAGGAGATGTACTCGACCATTCAAACTCCTCTCTATTAATCAACGTTCTCATACAATCTTTAGTTACAGGAGCTCAATAAGCAAATCAGAAAATATCAAGAGACTGGAAATTAGAGAAAATGTAGCAGGTGTGTTGGTGTGAATGCATGCTAAACAGAATGAGAGCTAGAAGTGTCATGCAAACTGCAAGTACGAAGGCTAGCAAATCTATCAGTCTAGACTTAGCCAGATCACAAGGGATGTTCTCATCAGACCAATAAACCAAGTTCTACCCAGCTCATTTGCTAGATATAGAGCCTCTCAAAACCGTGAAATGCTCCTGCTCATCCACAGCCCATGAACTTCTTGAAGCCGTGGATGCCCCATCCCTGGAAGTGTTCAAGGCCAGGCTGGATGGGGCTTTGAGCAACCTGCTCTAGTGGGAGGTGTCCCTGCCCAGGGCAGGGGGTTTGGAACTCGATGATCTTCAAGGTCCCTTCCAACTCTAACCATTCTATGATTCTATGATTCTTCACTTTTTAAAAGGACATTTACAAAACCATGCATTTCTCAAAATTACTTTTGCTAAAACAATCCTTTAAACACTATTGCCTCAAAACTGAACAGTGTCTTCTGCCCTAGGCTCTAGTTAAAGATTTGCTGTCCCTCAGAAGCAGGCATGTAATCTTTAGACAGTCAGATTAACAGAGCAGTTTATATGCTTAAACTAGGGGGCTAGTGGTATTTGAGATGCCCAAGATACCCGGAACTTTTACTCTGCATTATATTTATATCTATAATATATAATATATATTATAGATATATAATATTGTATATATTATACAAGATACAATATATATATATTTATATATTATACTCTGCCAGCTCTGTCAGGATGTGAGACATCCTCCCAACACTTTCTTGTCCCCTGAAGGAGTGCAGCTGAAGGCCACAGATAGGCTATCAAAGAGTACCAGCACCTACTCTTCAGCAAGCGATTCCAAGATGCTCAAGCATCTGCCTCAATTGTTACCTTTTTTACAACTTCCAGTGAGCAAGATCCCCCAAAGGAAGAAAAAACAAAAAACAAAAAAGCAAAAAGCCACAAAAATCAAGCTCTGAATAGCACAATAAACATTTATGCCTTAACTGCTCAAGCAAACTTCTTAACAACTGCAGAAGATTCTACTGAACTAAACTAACTGAACCAAAACTGGATAGATGTTTTTGCCAGCAGGTGCCAGCTAACCCACAGCAGAATTTGTAGATGGAATAGGCAGGAAGAGAAGTTTCTGCAGGCTGTCAAATAACCTTCCCAGGCTTTCGAAAGCTGGACTGAACTTCCAAGGAAATGAAAGCAGTGCCAGCTGCCTCCACCTTCGTCTTGCCAGCTGTAGTGCGCGTGGTACTGAAACCATGGGCTCCAGAGAAGAGGCAGAGCTCTGTGAAAGCCTGCGGTAGCAGGGCATGCAGCTATTCTTAAGCTGATGCTGGAACAAAACCGGAGCCCGTCTGCACAGATCACCTAGTCCTGTGCTCTCCAAAGTGCTAAGAATACAGTGACAGGTCTTTGAAAACTCTATCAAGTTTTATATTCAAATGGGTTCTGTTTTTATTTTTTATCCATAAACATTAAAAACAGTTTTTCTCTCACAAAATTTTCCTGGTTCAGAAAAGAAAAAAGTTTAACATATCAAGGCTAACATGTCTTGTTAGTGGAGGGAAGAGAATATTTTTATGCCTATGTCCTAATGCCAGTACAAAATTTACCTCCCAAAAGTCTGTGAAAAACCTTGCCTTTGTTTGACAAGGTTTACTCTAAAAGCTTAAATTATCATTGGCAAAGTACCTCAACAAAATAGGTCTGGAAAACTCAATGTTTGTACACATGATGAAACTAGCAAATAATAGATAATCTCAGTGTAGGAGGCCCAGACAGAATACTCAAAGGTCACATTTGCAACGCAAGAGCTGTTCTTAGTACAGAAGAGCTGGGAAGGTTGCTTAATACTTCACCTGTGACAGCAGGAGGGAAAACATTCATACCAAAAGTTCACCCAGAGAACTTTGCACTCCCAAGTCAGAAGCTGCAGGTTACAAGGGTAACACACGTACCCCCAGGAAGAGAGGAAAAAAAGCTCAAAACTGCACGGGGAAGGTCACCTTGTTGCCAGCACACTCATCTGTATGAAAATTCAGCAAGGTAATCATGGCTGAAGTACAAAATAGATCAGAAATGGTCAGTAATTCCAAGTGGCTACTTACATTGCCACACAAGGAATTCACAATAGAAGTATGTTTTATAACATAATTCAGCCACAAATGACCTGCTGAAAATGCCTTAAGTCCATTTTGTTTCTCATGTACTATCTCATAGCAAAGAGTCGCGATATGCCTGTTTTCCTTCATCTTCATATCAACATTCTTAAGCTGAAAAATCACCTTTTTCCTACATTTCTAGCACAGAAGGCTTCTGCAGTATCACTTTCGTGAATTCAGAACTTAGCAGTGATGGAACTGTTGGGAATTTAAACCAGCAAAAACTTAATCAGAATCTTACACCACAGAAAAGACAATGTGCTTTTTTTTTCATCTTTACTTCTTGTTTTTCTCTCTCAAGTGTGGTGCTAGACAGAAACCCTGCTTGTTTTTGGTTTTTTTTCCTATTTTGAAGCCTCATACAGCATCTATGCTATCTAGAGAGAAACAGGAATATATAATGCATTAGTAACACTAGAAAGAGGCTTCCACAGGTTTGAGGTATAGGTGCTAAGTAGACCATGACTTTACTCACAGGTAGAGCCACTACTTTAGCTCCTTTAGCTGATGCTTCTCTCACCAGTCCACAGGCTCGTTGAAGGTTATCTGATTTAACGGCAGATACATGAAGCTGAATAAGAGCCAGTCGGAAGTCTAATGGCAGAAAAGAGAACATTACTCAGCAGAATTCCCTCAGGAAACACTCTTCAAAATTTGATTTCACTAAGGAGTATTTAACAGAATAAATTTGCTCATATACCAAAGTATACACAACCCCCTTCCAACTCATTTTGTGGTCTGTCTATGACTCTGGAAACTGATTAACACAGGGAGAACATTAAAACCTAGGCTTGCTAATGGTAACTGTATATTGCCATCACTCTGCTCAGGTCACAGGGTTCACACGCTAGTAACACTCAGCCTAGGCAGTAACCAGCCCAAGTTTTAATATAATATACTGCGTGACAGAAAGGGACACCACTAATCACTTAGACCTGCTTCTTTCTTCCCAGTTTGCTACACATTTTGTGAGCCTATCTTTTTGTTGTGCCCGTTGCCTGATGACCACTGCATGTCCTAAAACGCCACTAGGAAACTAAACGATTAGATCACACCAAAAGAACCAAATATAGGAATAGCTTCCTTTTATCCCTCAGATCACACCTGGCCTGGGAAATGGATATAAAAACTAATAAGGGTAACGCCTTTCCTGATCATTTCTTTACCATATGGTTTCTAGCCAAGAGACAATCGCAAGCATTATCATCAATGTCCCTCATACAGTCAAAGACCACTACAGGATAAAGAAAAAGTTGCAAGCAACACAGCCTCAGTGGTCAGGGAAATAGAACTGATTCAAATAAAGACGAGACTAGGTCAGGAACAGTCAGGCCAGAACACCTTTCTTCTTACTTTAGTTCTCACTTCAGTAGCTAAGCAGCTTGTTTCCAGAGGTTAAGCAAATGATGAACAAGTCGCTTTGCCACTCTTCATGTGAGAGACTCTTAATATTTAGTTTACTGAGTAAACAAAGCTTCACTGAGACTTCGAACAGATGCAACCATAGTTAGCTTCCAGACACACCTAGATAACCATACTAGGAATCTAAAACTTTTCCACGTTTGTAGAATGTGTTTTAGCTCAGAAAAATCAGACACTTAGAAATTTACATTTCAGCATAAATCCACTTTTGCAATAAACCCAAAAGAGCATCTACTAGGAAAAACTTTAACTTCCTCCCATAATGTTTAACCCACCAGGAAACCATTAATCTTATTTTCCCTGTGCCTCAGGTTGGGAGTGTGTTTAAAGGCAAAACTAAAGCTCAGTCACATCAGGATACATACACTCGTGCCCACAGTTTTGTTCAGAAACACTGAGATGTAGAAATAACAGAAATACACAGAGAAATACGCAACAGTGCAGTAGAGGCCCAAGATCTCTTCTTCCAGCCTTGCTAAACTGCCTCAAAAACTTATTTAAAAGCAATTTTTAGGGTAAGCCTATCACAATGCAAGCCACACGCTGGTAGAAGTGTGTCAGAGTAAAATAATGGTTCATGTTTGTATCACTGCAAATCTTGGGTTTTTTTTGGAAAACATCAGAAGCTAAGCAAGTCTGGTTTGCTCTGCTCTATCTTCTTGACAAGCCGAACATTTGCAGCAGAGGAGAGGTGCACGGCAAATGGTTTCTGTCAGTCTGTGGCAAAGCGGGAGTGCCCGGGGCAGCTGCCTCTGGTACCTGCGTTATTCCACTCTCCTCCGAGGGCTCGGAGACAGCACCCGGGATTGAGGCCTCCCCAGTCCCCAGAAGGACTGAGGAACCCCTGGCCGGGGCAGCTGCCAACCCGCGGCCTGTCCCGACCGTCGGGTGAGAGTGTAAGGCCGCAGCGGGGACGAGGAGGGGCCGGCAGCGGCTGAGGGGGAGGCGGTGACCCCGCGGCGAGCCCCGGGGCGGACGGGGAAGCTGCTCCTGAGGCCCCGGAACGGGAGGCCGGAGCTCCGCTGGAGGGAGAGGTTCAACCCCATGTCCGCCCTTTTCCCTGCGTCCCCGGGGAAGGGAGGTTGGGAGGGAGTGGGAGGAGGAGGAGGATGACGATGAGGAGGGGTACGAGAGGAAGTAACCGTTCGAAGTAACCGTTGCTCCGCCCGCGCCGCCACTCACTGGCCATGGCTCCGCGCGCCGCCTGCATCCCCGCGCGCCTCCGCCACCGCCCTTATAGGGCCGGGGGCAGCCCGCCCGGGCGCGTGCGTGCGGGCCTCGCCGCGGGGGCTGCTGGGAAATGTAGTCCCGGCCCCGCGTCCCAAACCCGCGGCAGAGGCGGCGGGAACGGGGAGCGCCTCTCCGGCAGCTCAAATACTGCTCTTAACACAGCCCGGCTGCTTCCTCCATCCCATTTCGGGATCAACTTCCCCAAGTCCAAAAAGCCCCATCAATCCCTATAAGCAGCCTTGTATTAAGGGCTCCTCCCAAGAGACCCGTACTTGTTTATAGGTTAAGGCCACTCCTGCACCTGGGACATCCCCATCTTCCTTGACAAGAAGGGCACGTCCTAAGGTACAAACCCACACACTAACTGCCACGCTGGCTTTGGTACCTGCTCCTCTCTACTCACCACAGAGCATCGCTGCCTCATCTGTGTATTTTGCCATTGTGGGCTTTTTAAAAGCACATTTGTAGAATTGTAGATTCAAGTCCAGAGGAGGGCCACAAAGATGATCAGAGGCTGGAGCACCTCTCCTGTGAGGACAGGCTGAGAGAGTTGGGGTTGTTCAGCCTGGAGAAGAGAAGGTTCCGGGGAGACCTTATAGCAGCCTTCCAGTAACATTTTTTTACAATAAGGCTGGTGAAACACTGGCATAGGTTGCCCAGAGAAGCGGTAGATGCTCCATCCCTGGAAACATTCAAGACCAGGTTGAAAGGGGCTCTGAGCAACCTGATCTAGTTGAAGACGTCCCTGCTCATCATGGGGGGGGGGGGGGGGGGGGGGGGGGATGTGGGAAGAGTGTGTGTGGTGGACTAGATGACCTTTAAATGCCTCTAACAAACCAAACTACTCTATGACTCTCTGTTGTGTAGAGGCAGTATGTCTCATGCGAGAGTATCTCAAATTGAAAGCATATGACAGCAGAAAGGGCAAAGATAAAACAAAATGGGTATTCCAGGGTGATCAATCTCTTACATGTGTTCACTTTCAGGAAACGTGCAAAGGATAGGAAGTTCATAACCACTATAAACAGCACAACCACTACTGCTTGCACCAGCTACAAACCTTCCTTCAAGAGAAAAACTGTTCAGTCTGCCCCTTGGAGCAGTAAAGTGAACACCCCATCCCAAACTGACCGAGACAAAGGACGGCAGAATTACCAAGAGGGGATGAGGCAGCTCTTTGGCAGGCCTCCCTCCCTTTTACACCTCCCCATGTTATTAGAAACAGCATATATGAACTTCTTTTTCTTTTTTTTTTTTTTAACTGCACACCTCAGGGGTCTCCAGGTGCAAAGAACGTCTGTCTCCTGAGTTCACGTGTGGTTTGGGGCAGAACACAAAACAAGAAAGCAGTGAAGCCATATCATCCTTTCAAGGCAAAAAGCAGAGGCTAAAAATTCAGGTTTCCCATGGTTCAGAGAGATACTGTATATTTCTCAAGTTTCAAAACAAAAATATCTGAAAGTACCAAATACACCCAAAAGAACAAGTTACACACTATAACCCGCCCCTGCTTCCCAAAAAGGGGAAACTTTTCAGCCATTCAGTAGACTATGGCTGTTGAAGTTGAAAAAGGTTATTTGACTGTATCAGAAGTTTTGAAACTTCAGCTGAAATGAAGGAAAAGCTACAAACTTCTGCGACCCAGGTGTATGGCCTAACAGGACTAAACTGAAAGAATGGTAAATAATCTTTACCTTCATCTAATGAAAGCAATGTAAGTAAAATTGCATCTCCACAGTCAGAGTATATTTGGAGGGTAATACATGCAAAGTTCTCTGCAAGTTCTCATACAGATCAGAATCTAAAAGAACTTGTGAGATAACTGAAGGGCCATCAGCGAGCACAGCAGCACTGACCCTGGCTATGAAACACAAAGGTAAGAGCTTCCGTTTGGCAGGAAAGCTTACTCTGAGAAGCGTGTTTCTTTCCTGTCTACAGACCTCATTTCTATCACCAAAATAAGTAAAAGTGACATAGCAGCTGTCATCTTATATTCAACAATACAGACAGCAGTGCATATAATAAAACCCAAGAGCCCGCAAACCTCTGGCAAATAATGAAAAAAACCAAACTACTTTGAAGATGAAGGAGACAGGAAATAGCACGCTGACTATTTTGATTTTTCTTTTCGAAAAGTGTCACTCCAGTACTGTAACTGGAATTCTGCTTAGCAATACAAACGTCATAACCAACACAGTAGATATACCTTTAAGTTGTGGGCAGAGATGCATAAAACACCATTGAAATTATTCATGGTTTGGACTGAGCTTTGTAAGGAGTCTGATGATAACTTGCACATTGCCCTAAAAATTACACATAATTAGATTCTTAATGGCTTGGATTATATATTTCTACACAAAAGAAATTTAAGAACTGACTTACTATAGCTTTACCTAGTGTAGATCTAAAAGCTATTTGTTGTACGCTTCTCTATGAAGACACTTTACCCTCTTCTCACATTTAATATCCAAATGCACCCGTGTAACAACTGAATGTACTTTTCACAATTCCTCCCGCTCCAATGACTAGGAGAAATGAGTTGTATCATTTTGTCAGCATTTTCATAATATAAAAATGCAATGCTGAGAAGTCTGGAATTTATGCAGATATCCTGTCTATACGTTCACCATGTGATAACTCATTTTGACCTTTTTAGGAATGCTTACTAAGGCTCGCTCAAAACTGTTTAATGAAATTAGTCTAAGTCTAAATTCTAAAATACTTACATTAAGATGTCAGTGACAGTAGCTTCCTGTGATCCATAATCAGCTTCTTGCACTCCAAGGATCAAATTCACTTCCATTTACAAAATACCTTTAGGAAAAACTGTTAATCGATTCAGAAAATTCACACAGTATGTAACTAAATGCTTTCTGACAGAACAAGTTATGTTCAAATTGTACTGGTTTATTTACAACTGTAGTTTATAAACAGTAACACAAACATCTTTACATGAAAAAAATCTCATTGCTGAAGTAGGCACAGAGTCAGAGACTCTTTAGGATATTTTCAGAAGGGAGTAGGAAGAGGAAAATGTAATACAACAGCTGCTGGGCAAAACTAAATACATGAGTGTTGGCCCAGGTGCAATTTCATGCAAATATCTTCAACAGTTCAAGTTCTATTGGTGTTTACTCAGATACTAAGAAGAAAAAAAAAAAAGGGAATTACTTCCAGAAATAAGGTGCCCTAGCTTGATTCCTAGTAAAATAACTTAGAATAACTGTTTTTATAAAGGTCAGTTTAATTTATTTTACCTCCTGATGAGGTATCAATTCACAGGTTTTGATTCAAATACTCAGAAGACTTCATGCAGCAAAGCTAATCCCTGGCATCTTTATTTCAGAGTTTTTGGTAATTTCCACATCAGTCTATAAAGATGCTACACCTCGGCCATAAGGACATTTCTGTACTGAGTTTTTTAACATGAGAACCGTTCTTGGAACAAATGGAAAGCTGCTGATAAACAATCACATAGCTGCCATCTCTCCAACATTAGCTAATTTAGAATATGCTAGTTAAAAGAATATAAGCAAATCCTTAAATCAATGGAGGCAACAGGTAATTAATACATCTATCACAAGTATATAGCACTTGGATCTCTTAATTTTATTTTTATGCGTTAATTTTCTCGCTGAACACAGCTTCAATTAGCACATACTTCTGTGCTGAACCGAAGGTTGTTAAAGGTCTAGTTATTATCTTAGATATTTTGTTTTTGAGGAGCAAGGTAACTTGCTTTCAACTATCATATTCTGTCATGAAGTATTAGCTTAAATTTCAATGCACACACTCATCCTTACAAGAGAAACAGCTTCAACCTACGAAATGTAAAATCTTGCATAATTAAAAAATTACAACCCTGTAGTAAAAGCTTATTGTTCACAGTGGTATTTAAAAATTGCCTTGCCACCAATTCCAATTATTTAACCTAGTAGTGGATAAGACTTTTAAAAAAGTTAATTTTACAAATTGCTTGCATTTTTTCCATTTATCAGCAGCCCAAGCTGGACTTAACCCTTTTTAATGAGAAGGAACCAGTACTTCTAAGATTTTTATCTGCTCTGCACATAAAACCAAGTTTTTAATCAGTCCTTGATAGTACCGAGTATGCAAAAATCAAATTTATAAACTGTAGGCAATGGAGACATTTTATTTTCGAGGGTCAGTAATTTAAAACCCCATTCTGTTTTCAACTGCTTGTCTGTGTCCAGCAGTGCTTCATTTCTTTAACACACTTAATGTGAACCCAGATGACTCACGTTAAGGCTGCACTGAAAATGAAACAAACTGACCTTTATAATAAACATTTCAAAACAAAGAACAAACAAAAAACAATAAAAAAATTAAAAATCCTGTTCAGAAACTGATAATAATTTACCCTATCCTAAGCCTGCTACTCAGGCACTCCCATCAGCAAACAGAAAAATTCTCTTAAGTTAGTATTCGGTTGGGAAACAGTCAGCTTGTGTCCACATACAGTATCTTGGTTTCTTCTTTATAAACTGTTCTCTACAAAGTCTTTAGTTATTAACTCTCCAAGGCATCCAATACTTTCATGATCTGTTGTTTTATGGCTTTGGTAGCATCACCTGCATTTGGAATCAAATACCTTAAAAAAAGATTAGAAAAAGCCATTATTAATTCACCATAAAATTTTTGAGTATCAATGCTACAATTGTTTTAATTTTTCCTCTGGCACAAACTAGAAGGAATGAGAAGGGAAATATATTAAAATGAAAAACTACAGAGAAAATAACATTAGTTTCCTGTTTATGCTATGAAGCACTTTCCACTTGTCAACTTAGAACTGTTAAGAACTACTTCACTGACCATCCTGGAAGGAAAAGTTATTCATTAATTGACAACAGTATAGACCAGGCAGTTCAAGATCTCTAGATGTAGCACTGTCTGACTGAAGCATGGCAGTCCTCATTTGTTTTCTTCTTGTTTTTGTCATTTGTGGGTTGTGGGTTTTTTGGGGTTTTTTTTGTTTGTTTGTTTTGTTTTAATTCCCACAGA